TGCTGTAAGGTAAAAATGAGATTTTGTTCCGGCAAAAAATGTGATTATTGCACATAACATAGGAATGGCTAGTATCTCAAAACCCATTACCCAGTTTTTGTTTTGGATGTATACTATTATAGAATTATTGATCAACATGACTAGTGTCTGTGTGGTGTAGTACCAATTTAAGAAACTAACTCTTTTCCCTCCATTAGGGGAAGTTGTGTCAAATTGATCAATGGCAAAGGAAATACTGCATGGTCTAATTCCACCTGTGCCTATACCCAGCAAAGACAGCCCCAAAATTAAGATGGCAAGCTGATTAGTAGTTGGGGGAACACATGCTTGGTGCCGAGAAGAACAACTTGGAGGATGAAATTGTGGCACCCATGCTGTCAGTGTTAATATCGCCCATGCTTCACGCCGGACGACATCATTGCGAAGGTGCGATGCGTAAGAGGGGTACCGTTCATGGCGATCAGACCGATCTGAAACGATTCACAGTGGATGCGCTAGGGGATTTTACGGTGCAGATCCATGGTGCTTTCAACGATGAGGAGGTTGGCGGCAGAGGTTTGATGTGGTAACAAGCACAGATCCATGGTGCTATCAACCATGGAATTATTTCCTTTTCTTTTGCTGGGTTTTTCAGGTAACGCTTCTTGTAAGCTGCAACAAACACTTGTCCAACACCAGAAAATATGCTCCCTTTTACTGGGAGGTAAAAATAAGTTCTTGTTTCAGCAAAAAATGTGATTATTGCACATAACATGAGAAGGGCGAGTATCCCAAAATTCATAACCCAATTTTTGTTTTGGATGTAAACTATTATAGTATTATTGATCAACATGACTAATGTCTGTGTGATATAGTATCAATTTAAGAAACTGCAAACTCATTTCCTTCCATCAGGGGAAGTTGTGTCAAATATACTAGTTATTTATGCAAAATGCTAACAACAAATTTAAGCAAAAGATAAAAATATACTTTATTTTACTCAATATGGTAGTTATTTTGACAAAATGCAAACAACAAATTTAAGTAAAAGATAAAAGTATACTTTATTTTACTCAGCATAATGGTTATTTATGCAAAATGCAAACAACCAATTGATGTAAAAGATAAAAATATAATTTATTTAACTCAACATGGTAGTTATTTTGACAAAACGCAAACAACAAATTTAAGTAAAAGATAAATTCCCTTCTTTTTTTCCTTTTCTTTTTTACAATTTTTTTTGTTAAAGTAAGCTTTCAAAATAAAATTTATTAGAAATCTATTCAAATTCAAGATAAACATCTACTCTAAAAATCCATATTTAAAATGATGACTAAATTTGGGCTAACACATATTTAAAAATCCATTTGACTTCTTCAACTTGTTGAATGATGCAAAGCCTCCATGAATTTGTGACCAAACCTTCTGCATTAACTTCATTGTCTTGTATCAGAGAAGCTTTGTTTAGAAACTTGTGTAAATATCGAAGTTACCAAAAAAAGTTTGTCCTTAATTAGATGAGGAGTAAATATTAAAATACACAAGTGAGATTGAGGTACATTACCTAAGTTGTTTGGTTCAAGGTATCTTCACTGCTTCATCATCTCTTACTGGGAGATCATAGTAAACAACTTCCTCTTCATTTGCTGGGTTTTTGAGGTGACGCTTCTTGTAAGCTGCAACAAACACTTGTGCAATACCAGAAAATATGCTCCCTTATGCTAGAAGGTAAAATTGAGTTCTTGTTTCGGTAAAAAAAGTGATTATTACACATAACATGAGAAGGGCTAGTATCTCAAAATCCATTACCCAGTTTCTGTTTTGGATGTAAACTATTATAGTATTATTGATCAACATGACTAGTGTCTGTGTGGTGTAGTGCCAATTTAAGAAACTGCTAAATCATTTTCCTCCATCAGGGGAAGTTTTGTCAAATTGATCAATGGCAAAGGGAATACTGCATGGTCTAATTCCACATGTGCCTATACCCAGCAAAGACAGCCCCAAAATTAAGATGGCAAGCTGATTAGTAGTTGGGGGAACACATACTTTGTGCCAAGAAGAGCAACTTGGAGGATGAGATTGTGGCACCCATGTTGTCAGTGTTAATATCACCCATGCTTCTCGCCAGACGACAGCACTATGGTGGTGCGATGCGGAAGAGGGGGCGCTGTTCATGGCGGTTAGACCGATCTGGAACGGTTCACGGTGGATGCGCTAGGGGATTTTGTGGTGCAGATCCATGGTGCTTTCAACGGTGGTATAGTCTCGCCGATATGAGTGACGAGGTTGGCGGCAGAGGCTTGATGTGGTAACAAGCACAGATCCATGGTGCTATCAACCATGGAATTATTTCCTTTTCTTTTTCTGGGTTTTTTAGGTGACGCTTCTTGTAAGCTGCAACAAACACTTGTGCAATACCAGAAAATATGCTCCCTTTTGCTGGGAGGTAGGGGTGTCAATATGGGTTGACACGACACGAATTTGACACGACACGAATTCGACACGACACGAATACATCAACACGAACACGACACGAATTTTCATTCGTGTCAAAATCTTCAACACTGACACGACACGAATTTTTTGCGGGTTGACACGACACGACACGAATAACACGCAAAATAGGGGACAAAACGGTAATTGACAAAAAAAATTAAAAAAATAGATCGAAAATAAATAAAAAATTAAAAAATAATAATAAAAAAATAATAAAAATAATAATTAAAAATAATACGGGTCGACACGAACACAAATTCATAAACACGAACACGACACGAATTTTTTGCGTGTCATTTTTCCAACACGAACACGACACGAATTTTTTTACGGGTCAACCCGAACACGAATTTTCGTGTCGTGTCGCGGGTCGACCCGCGTGTCAAAACCCATATTGACACCCCTACTGGGAGGTAAAAATAAGTTCTTGTTCCGGCAAAAAAATGTGATTATTGCACATAACATGAGAAGGGCTAGTATCCCAAAATTCATTACCCATTTTTTATTTTGGATGTAAACTATTATAGTATTATTGATCAACATGACCAATGTCTGTGTGGTATAGTACCAATTTAAGAAACTGCTAACTCCTTTCCTTCCATCAGGGGAAGTTGTGTCAAATATACTAGTTATTTAGGCAAAATGCAGACAACAAATTTAAGTAAAAGATAAAAATATACTTTATTTTACTCAGCGTAATGATTATTTATACAAATTGCAAACAACCGAATGTAAAAGATAAAAATATAGTTTATTTAACTCAACATGGTAGTTATTTTGACAAAACACAAACAACAAATTGAAGTAAAAGATAAATTCCCTTCTTTTTTTCTTTTTCTTTTTTACAATTTTTTTTTGTTAAAGTAAGCTTTCAAAATAAAATTTATTAAAAATCTATTCAAATTCAAGCTAAATATCTACTCTAAAAATCCATATTTAAAATGATAACTAAATTTGGGCTAACACATATACAGAAAGATATATAATTGACATGATTGGGATTTTATTTTCATTTTTTATTATTCAACTTCTAAAAGAAAACTTAAATAAAAATCTGCACATTTATGTACTAAATAAAAAAAATATTTCTTTTAATCATATATAAAATATCATCCATCACACAGAAAACTAATCTGATTCTGATTTAATCAAAAAAACAAACCTATAATTTTAGACCCCAAATTATTTTTCCTACATGTGATCATAGTATATCAGAAATCCCCTTTTTAAAATGATGATTAAATTTTTTTATTATATTTATATATATATATATATATATATATATATATATATATATATATATATATTCATGTAAAAATAAAACAGTTTCAATCCAATTGAATTTTTTTAATATGGAAGGTTGTGTATAATTGATTGGAGAAGTCCGTTTACAGCGCATATAGAATACTTTTTGTGTTTGTTTGGAATATACACAAAATGATGGGTAAAGAACATGGGTGTCGAAAAAAGCCGAAAGAGTTAATGTAAATGAGTCTTCCATACAGTTAGAAATGTATAAATCAAGTTAACAAAATTGACATTAAAAAAAAAAAAAAAAAAAACTTATCATGGGTCATCTTACAATTAATTGGGCCCGTTCACAAGTTTAAAATAATCACAATTAATTGTTATAAGTTTGAGAGTTTTAATTTTTAAATTTACCCAATATTGTTTAAAAATGAATATTCGTATATTTTAAGCAATCATTAATTTAATTTTTTTGATACAAATTAATTAAAGAAATTATTTAAAATAATTTTTAAACTAAAATTATATAAATAAGTAAAAAAAAATACAACTTAGCAGATTAAACCCATATAACTTATACTTAATCTACTACGGACTAGCTCAAATTAGATTCAACCCACAACGTCGATTTTCAGCCCAAATTGACATCCATAGAAGAGACTTTCTTCCGTTGATTTTCACCTCTTCAAAGAGCCCACTTTCGTAAATTGAGGAATTTTTATTTTTATATTTTGCGTGCCCACCTTTAGGTATGTGATGGGGATTTCTCCAGGCCAAATTGCGCGATTAAAATGTAAGGACTTCATTTTTCATTTATAATTAATAATTTTGTTTATTGAGGGTATTTTAACTTTTTTATAGAATAGGAGCATTTTTTATATTCAAATTTAAAATTTGAAAATTGACAGTGTGAGGAGAGTTTCTTTAAGAAAAAAAAAACTACAATGAGTTTAAGTGAGGAGTTGAAAATATCAAGCAATTAAGTGATGCCGGCTATATGTATAAAAAAAGAAAAAAAAAATACCAAATGATGATAACTCAGTTGACGCATGGAAGCTGAGCAAGTGAAGATGAGAGCATGTGTTCGAATCTCCTCAGTACCACATTTGGGAAGAGTTTAAAACCTCAATCCCGGACCCGTCCCAAATCAGATTAGTTGCGAAGCGATAAACCGATTGGAATATTTTCAAAAAAAAAAAAAAAAACAGAAGAGTGAAATTTTCCCTTTTTAGTTTACTAGGTTGTGATAAAAGCAATTGTTAGCTTTCGATACAATTAGCTTCATTTCTAACACCTCAGCTTTTAAAAAAAAAAACAACGACTAACCTCTTTCTTGGTTTAATATAATTAAACACCATTCATGGTTCCGGCCAATATATAGAGGCTCAGGAATTCAGAGCATTATTCTTTACATACCAAAAATAAAGCAATTTGAGTAGCAGGGAAGCAATAGCACACTGTCTTCCACGGCTATAGGCTGCCTGAAAGGATTTAACTGAACCTACATAGGATCATTAAAAAAAAAACAGGTAAATGATCAAAGCAATTACATCTCTCAAGACAAGACAACAGAGAACGAGTAAGAAGGTTACAGGCAATCTAAGAGAGCGTCCAGTCACGGTCGTAATGCAACTTGTTGCAAGATGACAAGCTTCCTCACAATAATCGGTAAAAACAGCAGGAACATCAATCTTTTCAATTAACTCCTGAAATTTCGATCAAGCAAGCAAAGAAGATGAAAGAAAGCATGCTGTAAAATGAGTTTATTATTTTTAAATTAAAAAATGCAGTATAAGAAACCAAGACTAACACCTAAACAAAAAATTAGCACAAGGTGGGAGACGTACAATACTTGGCAACCAACTGGAATAGGCAGCCACGCCACCATTTGGAGCAATCACTAGGTGAGGGGAGGAAGCCTGTAAGTGGAACATTATTGAGATAAATTGTTGAGTTTGGAGAATCAGACAGACAGAATTAATTCAAGGAAGATTAAGTTAAATAACAAGAACTACTCAGCATTTGAATCTGTATATTGATGATTCTTTTCAGATGTTATGATGCAATACCTTAACAATATCTCTATATCGGTCATGATAGAATCCTCGCCAAAGCTGCAATGTCAATGCTGAAGTGATACTAGTTTGTGTTTCACTCGCTAGTTTGCATACACACTCAACTTCATTGCAACAAGGATACTTAGAAATGCAGATTTTCTCACCATCCCTGTTTACTGGGAGGCAGGAAAAACATGTAATTAGACGAAGAAGTGACCAGTATCAGATGATAGAAAATTTTAAAACTTACGAGCAATGGATCAGACCTTTGAGGAGGAATTGCAGGTCCAACAAATTCTATATGAATATGTACACCAGGGAAGAGCGCCTGTAATTCTCCAAACACAGTAAGTTGTAGGAGCTCTTTCTCAGGTCCTACCACGTAAAATTTCATAAAGCAAAAGTTATATGCTGAAAAATTATACAAATTTATATGCAAGCCTTCTTAAACAGAGCATTTATAAAAGTAAATATTTTCTCCATGATCAATAAAATGTAATGACAAATAAAGATGAGGGAAAAACAAAGTTTCATAACTAATTTTATTGATGACAAATAAAGATGAGGGAAAAACAAAGTTTCATAACTAATCATTAGTAACTTGATGAATTTCAAATATAAACTTATCAAAGCCAGGATTTCCAGGTTGGTTGATTGATAAATCATTACTTCCACTTCGACATTTTTAGTGGAAATGTAAATCATGCATGCATTATTTCTAATAAAGAAGTAGAAGCTAAATATACGGTCTAATAAAATATAGCATAAGAGAACACTTGAGGATAAGTTTGGCAAGTGTAGTGTTTCCAAGTCCACCTAGATCCTTACACTTGCTCCTTGTGTACGCAAACATAAACACGCTACTTCTTTTTTTGTTGGCCTTTTTTTGGTAATAAATAAACTAAAAGCAATGTAAAGACTACAATTGAAAAACAAACTCCCATAGTAGCATCTTTTTCTTTGAGTAGCTTCTTTGAAAGTTTAACTAAATATAAATTTTCCCCAGCCCTAATAGATACATTCATATATCTATAAAATCATTAAAATATTTTAGAAACTAATTACACAATTCAGGACCTATTCCTAACATATAACATAAAAGAGAACTAATGAAAAAAGATGTCATATTTCAAATTAAAATGCTTAGAGGGAATTTGTAGGTGATGATTTACCAAGATAATGTATGCACAACTTATTGCTGACTTCAGAATTCAAGGTTGTAATTCCAACAAGTTGAGCAGCGTGATATATAGTAAGTGGCTGAAATAGAGAATATCATATAAAATTTGAAAAAAGAAAAAAATAGTTAAACTGAAATTTAGTGGGAATAGAGAATAACAAATTTAAGGCCCCCGCCCCCTGCTTATACTTTAAGGACAAACAAACTAAAAGAAACAACTGCACACATCATCCCTGCAGCATACAAGCAAAATGAGATAACAAATTTAACGTTAATAAACACAGTTGAAATGAGAATGAAAATATGGAACCAACTCAACCAAGTAGAAGCTAGATGCGATAAAAAAAAAAAAAAAAAGACTACACAATCATACCCAGTGAAGAAGCAACGCAACAGGTGAATCTAGTGGGATGCACCTCCAGTTATAATAGTCTCTCCAATTATGCAACTGCTCTGATATTGGAGAGTCAGGCCCTGACCAATTATATGCTGAATTTTACTCTAAATCTAATAACGAAGAGGAACTGAAATTTAAAGAAGAAGAATGTTAAACATTAAGTTACCACAACACGGACACAAAATCCTCGGGAGATCCCAACCCTTGTTTAACCTGCAAAAATAAATTTCTCAAGCTGAAGTTTGCTCTAAACTAATAAACTAATGGAAAAGGTTTTTAACTTTATAATAATTATTAGATGTATAGCTTAATTACAGATTATCTTCAACTCAAAATGGAACTCATCGCTCTAAATAGAAGTTTGATTAACATAAGTTTCAAAATATGAAGGAAAGAAGAGGAAACCCTAAACAATCAAACGAAGAAGATGATGCCCCACAATGGCATTCATGCATCCACATTCCCACTTGATGAAGGCCTCTCTTGCTCAAAAATGAACACCTAGTTTCCTGCTTTACACAAACCTGTTGAAATTACATGAGCATCAGTCAAAACCTAAAAAAGAAGATTGTATCGTTTTGAAAAGCTGTATTAGCCAGGAAGAAGATCAGTGATCACCTGAAATGTGGCTTCGCGACAGAAAGTGAAAGGATAATCATTGAGGACATCCACACTCTTCATCTGTTGTTGTAACCTCTCACACTCGTCTTTGTGATGACTCCAGTGTGCAATCTAGAGACAAAACGCGAAGCAACGAAGCTTTGTGGATACATAAGGCAAACAACTGAGATTTTTACTTACTAATACCCTAAGCAAAAATGAACGGATTTGAAGATTGATAACTGAGAAGAAACAAACCTGGTGAGAGAGAGAGCAATAAGCAACGGCTTCGCAGCGAACACATGGTCTTATGGCGGCGCCGATGCACCGTGTTCCGCTCCCCTTCGCCGCGCACTCCATCTCTTTCTTCTCTCCGACCACTCCACATCATTATGTACTTCACCGTAGCCCGGCCCATTCCTACTAGGGCCCAATCACTTCTATAACTGTCCAAAGGAAAATGTTTCTTTCATGCTTAAACCTTAATTATAAGTTAATTATTGGTCAACAAATTTTATTTATTAATTAATAATTCATAACTTACTTCTCTTGGCAAAATATAAGGTTGACAAAAGAGATTACATACCAACGAAGTCTAGCATAATTGATAAATAATTGAGTCCTTCAAATATGCTGACAAATATTTAATTTTTAGCTGTGTATAGAAAAGTTTTGTTGATACAGGCAAAACTCACTTCAGATCTCTATGCGTCAAAGAGATTAGTCTACAATTGTCGGTCATCGGCTAAATTTAGAATAAAAATAAATATAAAAATTAGAAAAAAAATTGTCATTTTAAAAGATGATTGTTTTAATTAAAACATATTTTTATTTGAAATTTAAATAAAAAAATCATTCACTTTTTTCCCTCATGATTTTCACTGTGTGTCTATTTTTCATACTTAAAAAAACACAACTCTATATTCTTTAAGAGGATAAATACCAAACCCTTAAAAAAATACATCTTAAAAGGTTCTTCCTAATAATTTTTTTTAATTCCTTTTTTCTTAATTATAAAAAAATTATAATTACAGCTTTTGTAAAAAAAAAATTAACTAAACTTCTTTTTATAAGAGAAAAAAACTAAAAAAAATGGAAAAACTATTTGTCATTTTAAATGACATAAAATTATGTTATTCTAAGAGAGAGATAGACACAAAAAAATATTTTTTTATTTAAAATTTAAATTAAAAAAACCACTCACTTTCTCTCCATAATTTCTAATTTTTTTTGTCTATCTTTTTCCTAAAGTGACACATAACTTATGTCATTTAAAATGACAAATATCAAACTCAAAAAAATACCCTGAAAACGAGTACGTAACATGTTGGTTCCTAAGAGATAAAAAAAAAAAAGGCATATTAAAGCCCCTGAAGCTTTATGAAATGCCCTTATACTACCAGTCCAATGAAAAACAACAACGGACCAGTACTAAACATACAATAATCCCAAGTCACATTTATACATGTCCTTGAACAAGTGTAGTATTAACCCTGTTAATTAGGGGATTATCACGTTCAACTGATTCATACTTTATAGAGCTGAGCCACCTCCAACTGAATACTTTAGGGCTTTTTCCTGGGTATTGTGATGTGCAACTGGGTCAGGTGTATGTGAGTTTAATTTACCCAATGTGGAATTGGGCTTAGGGTTGGGTGAAGAAGTACTTGTCCTATCTGTGGAACATATCTGATATTATAGAGGTACGTAATCATTTATTAAAAATAGAAGAAAAAAATATAATTTATGTGACAATACTCATAACCGAAGGGGTAAGATGGTAAAAGTCAACTATATTATTTTTTCAAATTTAATAAAAAGGAAAAACTGTTTATCCTTTTGAATGACACAACTTATATCCTTTCATTTTCACAAAGAGGTGGGACCTATATTTTTATTTTTTTTGCCAACTCTCTCTCCTCCTTTATCTATCTCTTTCTCTCTTTTAAAATGGCATAACTTTATATCCTTTAAAATGATATACACTTTTCCCAGATAAAAAATGTATTGAGTATTCGATGCTACGAAAGTGTTAAAGATATTTTCCTATCTATAAGTGCTGAATATAGTGAATGTGAATAATTTTTAAAATGAACCAAGCATTTCTTCACCTTTCAATTTCTTTATTTTAAAGTTCCTCTCTTTTACCGAAAAGGGTTTAAACCTTTTTCTTAACAGAAAAAAAAAAAATATATATATATATATATATATAGAGAGAGAGAGAGAGACGTATGTTTGTGCTTTGTTTCAACAAGTCACTGGCCATCATAATTCATATAGTGACTTTATTAAACAGAATACTTTAACCATTCCATTTGGAAAGGTCATTTAGGCGGTCCATTCATATTCATAATCCTAGTAAACATTGTTATTCCAATAATATTATAGCATATCCTTGAATTCCACTTTCAGTGTCCCGTATCTCATTACTGTTTGAAAAGATGAAGGATGCTACCAACTTTCTTTCTTTGTTTTCTAAATTCTGCTTGACGTTCCGAGAAAAATGCTTTGATTACCTGTTTGGTTAAGCGATATCCAAAGGTCCAATGATATTGCTATATATAGTACAAGCAAATAAAAAAGATACCCCAAAATCACACTCGATATTGATAAAGAGGAGATGCCAAATCTTGAGTGATCAAATATAAAACCAACTATTCCCTATTAAAACTATTTACAAAAGGTAGCTGCTAATTGTTATTATATAGCGTAAGAGTCCATGATTCTATTGAATATTTGAACCTCGAATTATATTGATCGGATCTAATCCAAACAGTTTGTTCAGTTGGTCGGGCATATATAGCATCCAGAGGCGGATTAGGGGGGTTGGGTTGACCACCCCCTCAAAATTTGAAGGAAAAAAATTTATGTATAAAAAAAAATATTTAATGGGTTGTTACCCTAATGAGATTATGTGCAAAACTTGCAGAATTTTAAAACAATTTTAATTAAAAAATAATATACTGTCATAAGTTATCTGCAGTTGTGATTTAAGGGATGGGCTATGCATGAGACCTCGTTTATTAGAAACGGTGGTATTGGTGGGGGCTGCACATGGAAATTAATAAGAGATTTGTTCATACTTTATCAATCAACTCTCATTCTTCATTTTGATTCTTTTTCTATATCTTTCACTTTCCAATCAAACAAAACATATTGCATGAAGGCTATATAATAAAAGTAGTATTTTTTTTTCTTGTTTATATTCTTTTAATTTTTAATGCATTTAAAATTTTCTTTTAAAAAAATTATAGGGACAATCGCCGCCAATAAATTTGCAGACATAAATAAATAATAGTTTCTTAATCCACCACTGTTCTTCTTATGTAAATTCCTGATTCTGCCACTGCTTACATCCGATAGAACACATTAACATAATATGCAAATGAGCTACGATACTTATCAACCCCACCCCAGCATTAAGCAAAAAAAATCTCTCTTACGAGATTAAGGGTCTATTTGATTGTATTTTAATTTATTTATTTTATTCTTAAAATTATTTTGTAAAGAAGTTAATGAAATAATTTTTAAAGTTAAAAATTAAAATACAAAATAAAATTATAAAAATAACTCAAATATTCTCTAAATTTGATTCTAAAAATAAAAAAATAGTTACAAATTCAAAAAAAAATTAACAAAATAAGCGTTACCAAATAGGTTTTTTATATTTTTTATTCCCAAAATCAAAAAATTATTTTTCAAAATAAATTTCAAACAAACCGTAAATTCCAAAAATACAAAAGTTGATGAAGTTGACCGATTCAATTGTGTTGTGTACAGTTACAGGCCCACCATAATCGATGGAAATGGCATTAGAGGGGCCATGCACTTTAGTGTATAAATCTTGTGTGGAAATGAATTTCATCCTTCTTACCTTTTTCATTCTTTTAGCTCTTAAAGTCAAGCAAATAATTTATATCTTAACATATGACAATATTATATTATAAAAATATAAAAATGATTTTAACATATCTTATTTAAATAACAGTCAGTTTTATTACAAGAGAAATAATAACAATATAATTTTTACACTTTATTTTAATTTTTGTAATTATTAAATAAAATCCTACATTAACCTAATTAATAGATAATAGATTTAGATTATTCAACAAAATAAAAAAAGAATATATCACTAACATTCTTTTTATTATAATTACTTTAACATATTTAGTATAACATGAAATTGTTATATTTTTTTTTTTGATAACAGAAATTGTTATATTAATACATAACATCTTTACACAAAAATAGATAACAAAAAATAATTCGAATTCCAGAATAAATGTCCATCGGAATGCATTATTTTGCTTTAAATAAAGGGGATTACGAGGAAAAAAAATTTATTTATTGTAACTTAATTAAATAATAACGTAAATTTGACAGTTTGAGAAATATTTACGTATCTATTGCACACTATAACGCCCCACTGGGGCGTCTCTCATGAGGGGAAGACACCCAAATGGCATGAAGTGGTGACACATGTCACTTGTTTTTCCAAAAAAAAAAATTAATTTAATCATAAAACTTCTAAATGCCATAACTTTTGACTCGAGTATTCAAATCAGGTAATTCTTTTTTTGATTGCACATTACTTTTAGAGATCTACGCAATGACATCTCATTTGATATATTTTATTTCTCACCAACATAATTTAAATTTAAATCATGTAATCTTTCTTCCTTAGATATTTAGAATATTTATTTAATTATTTGCTTTATTAATACAGATTTTTCAAATTGATTTTTGAGTTTAAATCACAAATCAAATCTTTATTTTGTTTTCCTTATTAATAATAATTGTTACTTTTTATTTAAATCTCAAACCAAATTTTTTATATTAAAAAAAATTATTTTTTTAATTTAAATCACACATCAAATCTTGATTTATTTTTTGTATTAAATCACAAACGCAGAACTCAGAGGCTTCTGAGTTTAAAAATGTGACACGTGTCAACACTTGTCAAAACCTAACACATCACCAATCACGTCTAAATTGGGTTTCAATCAAGAGGAAATCACGCCTAATTTAGGTAATTTTATTTTTGAAAAACATTCATAAGCCATCATTAATTTCAGACCACGAATAATAACCCAGAAGCTTATAGCATTAATCATTAATTTTAAAAATAATATCCTTCTTCCTTAGAAATTTATAATATTTATTTAATTATTTTCTTTATTTCTACAGATTTTTCAAATTGATTTTTTAGTTTAAATCACAAATCAAATCTTTATTTTGTTTTCCTTATTAATAGTAAATTATTTTATTTTGAATTTAAATCACAAACCAAAATTTTTTATAATAAAGAAAATTATTATACAAAAAATTTAAATCACAAATCAAATTTTTTTTTTTATATTAAATCACAAATCCAGAACTCAGAGGCT